TTTTTTAGTTAATAAGGAGGTTTGTCATCAAAAATTGGAATTTTCACAGAATCACACATAATCTCCAATTGTAAATAATCTTAGGATGAATAATCAGGATCAAAATTAATAATCATAGAATCTAAATTATAATCCTAACTAGTTTAATTGAAGACAATCTCTTTCAAACTAGTAAAATTTTCATAAAATTCTCCTTCCTTTTAATTAAAAAATTTATCTCCCTTTTAATGTACATTTAGTTCCATCTAATGCTTTAATTTGACTATTCTCATTGTCTAATGGTATTATTCTTAAAGTAATATTTAAAGGTATATAATCTTGAGTTTGCTCATTAAAAATTTTGAACTCATTTATAACTTGTCCACTAGGAAACATTAAAAAGTCTTGTTTATTTTGACCTATATAATATTTGTTAATTTCAATTTATTCAATAACTTAGTTTTGATTACTCTCAATTTTTTTTGTATTTAAAAATTTTGAACCAAATTACAAAGTTAATTTTACAGGGAACCCAGCTATATTATCACTAAACAGAGATGCTTTGTTATTTGAGTATATCCTACCTTTGCTTAATTTTTTAAAAACTAGGTATCATAAATTAAAAAAAGAGATTTTTCACGATAGTCAAAATAAATGGCTCCGACTGTTTCTCTTCCATTATTCATTATAAATTAACATGAGTTTATAATCATAGTAATTGAAGAGATATAAGATGCACCTCCATATGTTCCACTATTATTTTTAAAGTAACTATATTCAAGTTTTACATTCACAATTTTAGTTTCATAATAAGTTTAAATTTAATTTAATAATCTATTTGATTTGACTTCTGAATATTATTTTAAATTAGTTATTTCTTTTGAAGATAAGACCAAACAACTCCAAAGGCCACATAGATTATCTTCCATTTTTATTGAATGTAGATTGATCAAATTTTAATTGTTTTATTATTCTATATTTATAAATTTTAATATTCCTTCTTTGCAGTTAGAGCATATAATATTCTAAAAAATTAGATATTCTATTTAAATTTAATGTTTTGATGAAATAGAATCAACTTAAAAAATAAACCCAGGATTTGTTCTTTTTGTTATTAAGGTATAAAAATTGTATAGACTAATAATATATTGATTCTACTAATCATAGAACACTTGTAGCTATTCTGGCTAAGAATATATTTTCAAGCATTTATAAAAGGATGAAGAAATAGAAGGATATGTTT